CTATTCTTGATTCTAACAAAATGGATGCTTCCAGGTCCTCAAGGCCAGGTTTGGTTTGGCACTTGTCTACTGTTTTGTTGCAAATATAACTTTTTTTTGAGGCAGGGTTTCTCTGTGTAGCTCTGGGTGTCCTGGAACTCGCTCTGTAGACGAGGCTGGCCTCAAACTCACAGAGATCCTCCTGCCTCTGCCTCCCAAGTGCTGAGACTAAAGCTGTGCGCCACCACTGCATGGTTAGATATAACATTAAAAAAAAATCAACCGCTAAGTCATGCACGATTACTCACACCTATAACCTCACCAACGCTCCAGAAACTGAGGCAGGAGAATTGCCCTGAGTTTGAGGCCAGTCTGGGCAGCAAAGACATTGCCTCAAAGCAAACCAACAAACAGACAACCAAGAAAACAACAACAAATATCAGTTACTTCCGTGAGCGCATTTCAGTATTGAACTTGGAGGAAACTGCTTTTTACTTGGGTTGGGTTGTCTTGACTTTTCTCTAACCCTGAAGAAGAATATGTGAGACTGGACCCTTAAAAATAGTGTTTAGTCTTAGTATGTTGGATTTCTGGAAGCTGATTTGCCATCCCCTTTGTACATTTTATTAAAATGAAATATTAATAATAATTCTATGCTAGTAAAACTGGGAATTGAACCAGGAACCTTATGGATGGTAGGTAGACACCCTGCCATTGAGCCATATCCTTAGTCCAACAAAAGTGTCTTAAAACTACTGGCCTAAATAGAATTCACACAGCTCTCCAGACACCTGAAAATGTGCTTTGTAGGTCTGTCGTTGACCCCTCCCAGTCATTCTCAAGCCATCTGTTTAGCGTCATCATCTGGGCTGCAATTCTCTCATGTTACAGAAGTCACAATTGGTTCCTCTAAAAACAGATATTAGCAAAGAGCATTTCAGATTTCTCCCCACACAGTTTTAATATGTTCAGTGACAGAAATGAACATTGAATTAGAAACTTATGCAAGAATTTTGAAAGTAATAATATTTATACTTTAAAAATGTTACCACCTGTGGATCATTGGAAGCTTCTTTGGCTGAACTGGGTCTCGAACTCAGGGCCTCTTGAACACTAGGCAAGTGCTCTGCCACCAAACCACACCCCCATCCCCCCCCTTTTGCTTTTAAAGTCTGGACCTTATTGAAAATTCAAGTCAGCATAATGGGTCTCTTTGCTTCCGATGTTGGGACAAGCTAGATTCGAAACATAGGTGAGCAGGGGTGAGTCTCAACAAAGCCATGTTCCAAACTAAGAGTCAGAACCCATAGTTTGGAGTTTTGTGCTATATATAATTTCTCTACACTTTGCAGAATTATATGAAAAAAATGACAGTAAGTTAATTCTTCTGTAGGCCCCTAGCCTCAGGCTTTATTTGTAAGTAGTCTTCCTTCCCCTTCTACTCCTCCTCCACCATAATCAGCGGACTCCAATTAATATTTTTTTTGTTTACTAAATCTGTATTTTTCAATTAAAGAAAGTAAACTTGTGAAGTTTAAAGTTTCAATTTAACTTATGATTTTGATGACCGCAGCAGTGAAGTTGGAGTGAGTTTCCGAGGAATGTGAGGATATAGCTCTAGAAGCTCACATTTTTGTTTTGTCCCTGTTTCAGAGGCGAAGTCTCAGACTTTCATAATAAGTAAGATATTATGTGTACAACTAATAATTTTTATGCTCAGAATATGCTCACAATAATCAGTGCATTGTCCTGGGGACATGTTGAGAGCACAATTCTGTGTACATTTTGAGAGAGGGGGTATAAATTTAAGGGGAAAAGTCAGGGGAGGAGATGTAACAATATTAGCAAAAAGAATTTGGCAGTCAGGGAGCTGGAGAAATACATTATTTTGCTTGCTTGTTTCCCATTATCTGCATTACACGTGTTTGGTGACTTTATTTGTAAAAGTCATTTAGGAAATAGCAGAAAACCTATTTCATTCCACCTTCAAAATATATATGTCATTAGAATTTTTAATGTATAGAAGTAATTGGTTTGTACTGTACAGTCATGGATGCTCCAGGAATACAAAGGAAGAAGTCCAAAGGTCACCACGATTCCCAAATCACAATCAGGCCACAGCTGACATTTTGTCATTTTTCTTGTGTTAACTTTAAGTGAGTCTCTGAGGGCCTGAGTGTGCTGTTCTCTGTGTCTGTCACCAAACCCAGCTCAGTCTTGTAAGTCTTACCACAGTGCTCACAATAGGATGTAGAATCTCCACTCTTCTCTAACTGCTTCACTGAGACAAAAGTCAAAAAGTGAAACCATGACAAAGGGACAGAGTACTCAAATGACCTTCCTATCTTTTTGAACCATCTGAGCAAAAGGCAACTCAAACTGATATACCCGTGAACAACGTAAGTTCCCTTTAATTCTACCAAAACAGAGAGAAGTAGGGGGGTCAAAACATCTTGGAAGGAGATGCTGTCTCTGACTACTCCTTGCCACATCCTTCTGTTCCTCTTGAGACTCTCCACCATTTAAAGGCCAGACACTTATTACTCAGTTCTGTGGCTCTCAAAAGGCCACTAGCCCATTATTTTACCCTATTAGGATGAGTTTATTCATTTATCTATTGCTAAACATTTTTTTGAGATACAGTTTTATTCTTTTGCCCAGGCCAGTCTGGGATGCCCTCTGTAGCCTAGGCTGGCTTTGAACACATGACAGTTCTTTTGCCTCAGCTTCCCACATACTGGGATGACTGGTGAGAGCCTCCGTGCTTGCTTCTAAGATGAATGTATTTTGTACCCATTTTTTAAAAAACTTTTTTTTCCTTCCTGAGACAGGGTTTCCCTGTAACCGCCCTGGCTGTCCTGGAATGCACTTTGTATACCCTGGACTCAAACTCACAGAGATCCGCCTGCCTCTGCCTTCCAAGCGCTGGGATTAAAGGCATGAGCCACCACATCCAGCTTGTTGGCATCTGTGGCTGTTTTTTGTTTGTTTCTTTGTTTTCTTAACTTTATCAAACAAGTTGATTTTCCCTCCATGAAATACGCTGTCACTTTTTGTTGTTTAAAGTAACATCTCAAAGCTGGGTCAGTGGCACGCAGGCCTGTCATTCCAGCCCAAGTCAGGCGGAGGACATGCTCAGTCCCTTCCACAGCCCCAGGGTATCAAGCATGAAGGGTTTATTGAGGGCTGCTTGGCTGCTCACCTATCTCACCATTCAGGAGGTGGAGGCAGAAGGGTTCAAAACCAGCCTCAGTTATATAGAGAGTTTGGAACCAGCCTGACATATAGAGGACCCTGTTTTAAACTCACCCCACCCACTGAAAAGTATATCTTCTATTATGGGATACTCTAGCTAGGCCTCTTGACAGCCTTTTTCTTTTTCTTTTGGCTTTTTGAGAGGTTTCTCTGTGTAACAGTCCTGACTGTCCCGGAACTCACATTTGTAGACCAGACTGGCCTCAAACTCACAGAAATCTGCCAAGTGCTGGGTTTAAGGTGTGTGCCACCACCGCCTGGCATCCTTTCTTTATTCTGATGAGCGGTGTGAGGTACACACAGGACTTGTTTTTCCTGTGATACCAATACATTCCCAACATGGTTAGTGGCTAATGCTCCCTTTCTCCCGAGTTTGTTATTCTATTTTTATCAATGTGGAGTTTTACTCCTAGGAGACTTCACTCTTGGGCCCTTCTAGTCTGTTCCCAAGGCTTATGTCTTCTCCAACCAACATGGTGAGACTTAAGCTTTTTTTGTATCTGATATGGCAGTTCTTATTTTCAAAAAATCACCTTGTTACAGTTAAGGATTTGTTTGTACAGATGAAACAGACTGGAGGCAGCTTCCGAATCCCATGGAATTTTGTTGCCTTGTTCACTTGTGTAGTTCTCTGACCCAGTATAACGGTGAATCTCTGGTCTCCTTAATAGAGAGGCTATTTAACTTGCTAGCAATTGTGGTCTAAGAAACTTATTGTGGCTCCCACAAGGCCTCATTTCCATCAGCACTCTGGCTTAGGCTATGGCCCATTGCTATTTTAGATGTCTAGTTGGCTGTCACGGTGGGTTCCACATCTGTAATAGTGACACCCTTGTCTTGCTTAGTGCATAATCTTGCATAAGAATTTTCTTGTCTTTCCCTGATTTATTTGCATGTTACAGCTCCTGGTATCTTAGATCTCTTTCTTGATAGTTTGAAATCTTTTTAATGCTCTGCTTTGAAAGGTATCTCTGATGCAAATGAAGAGAGAACTAACTTCAATTCCTGTTTTTTGGAGAGTGGGTATCTATGGATGGGAGCGCTTGGACATAGTGGCTCCTCCTGCTGGCAAGCCCTTCGGTACCACCTGATACTTGACTGTGTATAAAATACTTCAGTTTTGCTTTAAATACTGGCAGCAAGAGCTAGCTTTCGGGGTTGGGGATTTAGCTCAGTGGTAGAGCGCTTGCCTAGCAAGCGCAAGGCCCTGGGTTCGGTCCTCAGCTCTGGAAAAAAAAAAAGACAAAATAACAAAAAGACCAAAAAAAAACAAGGTAACTAGCACACACAACCTTTTTCATTTTCAAAGCCCCCCAAGGAATTTTCCTGGCTGGGGGCAGTACTTATTATCTGCCCTTTAGGATGTCGCAGTATCAAATCGGTTCCAGCTCGCAGAAAAGGCTCCTGTGTGTACAGATGCAGTGATTGACAGCCGGATGACAGCTGAGGATGCTGAATGCCCCACCTCCGTCCGGGCTGCTTGCAGCTGGGGCCCTTTCTTCACTTCCTGGGAATGCCCCTGTGCTAGATCTTTGGCAATTTTTCTCATTTCCTTATGACCTACGTTTGTGAATTCGGTCCCATCTGTTTGGGTTTTGAAAACAAAAGCAGAGTTCGCCTGGGCCGGGACAATCCTTGCGCGGCCAAACCCGCCCCACCCACAGAGGAGAGGGAGGAGCGGGACTTTGTTTGGACCAGCCCCCACACACGGCAGCATCTACCCATGCGCGGTAAGGATTTTTTTTTTTTGGCTTCTTTCGCTTGCCGTTCTTACCCGCCGTGCTCCGCGTGGCGTTCACGGAAGTGGCTTCCTCCGGCTGACAATCTGGGCGTTTGTGGCCGCACCTCGCCGACTACTACCCAGAGTGGCAGGAGTGAGAGGCCCTGGGGAGAGCCGGACTTCCGCCATGGCCGTGGAACAGGACATGTTCGACACCGTCGTGATGGCGGATGAGAGGTAGACAGAGGCCCGGTTCCGCCCCGCCCCTTCAGCTGCTCGACAGAGCCCCGCTGTCCTCGGGGACACCCGCCTACTCCATCTGCGAGCTGCCACATCTTCTTGTTCTTTAATTGCCGCACATACGGCAGTATTCATGACCTACTGATGGATGTGTCGGGCAGGCCCCTTTGGATTGGGAAAGTTCCCGAGGGAAACGCCTGGGCGGGGCTGTGGCTCAGGGCATCTTGGCCTTTCCCGGCTGGCTGCTCACCTCTTCGGGATGGCTTGGGGAGTGGGATCCTGATATATGCGGAGGGACAAGCGCTCCCCAGGCCACCCACCTGCCAAGTGGGGAGCTGGTCACTCCTCACGTGGGCTTCCAGAGCATTCCTTCCACAGTGCAGCCTGCAAGTTACTGCCAGTTTTTGGGTTCATCCCTCAGAGACAATACCATCCTGTTCAGAGCATCGCAATGATGACACACTGTGATGATCATAGGGACATTTTCTGTTACCCTACAGAGATGTGGTGAAGAGTCCTGGGTCCTTGGAGTGTTTAGGATTAGATGACTTCAGTTGCGATGGCCTGTAGGCTCAGCTATCCTGTTTTGAAAAGTAGATTTCTAATGTGTTCCAGGCTTGCTTGAAGTTTTTGTTTATTTGTTTGTTTTTCGAGACAGGGTTTCTCTGTATTGTTTTGGAGCCTGTCCTGGAACTCACTTTGTAGACCATGCTGGCCTCGAACTCACAGAGATCTGCCTTCCTCTGCCTCCAGAGTGCTGGGATTAAAGGCGTACGCCACCAACGCCCGGCGAGTTTTTATCTTTACATTTCCTTGTGGATTCTTGTGCTTTGTGGAGTTTGGAAGGCGCTCATGTAGCCCACCCACAGTTACAGATGAAGGAACTTGGGTCTCTAGGGGTTGGGCTGTAGCTCAGTTGGTAGAGTACTCTCCATAGCATGAAGCCCATCAGCATCATGGTTTCACATGGAGGTGGTGACACACACCTGTAATCTCAGCATTCATGAAATGGAGGCAGAGTTGCTTGATGGAGGTCAGCCTGGGCTACATAGTGAGGTCCCGTCTCAAAAATGGGGCATGGGCACAGTAATGGGCCAGGGAGTGGAAGAGCTAGTCCTAGAACCTGTATTCTGTGACTTGAGTTTTAAGCTTTTCCTCCTATAGTCTGCTGTGTCCTGTAGGATCTGGGTAATAGAAGGTAGGAAGACTTTTCAAAGAACAATGTCTTACCTGATGAAGTGTGTTTCTTTATCACAGATTCCATGGGGAGGGATATCAGGAAGGCTATGAAGAAGGCAGTAACTTGGGAATTGTTGAAGGAAGGCGGTATGGTACATTACATGGAGCCAAAATTGGATCTGAGGTAAGTGGAAGGACCACTTAGAAGTCACTGGACAGATGAGTGTGGTGATCCATCCCGTGATCCCAGCACTCAGAAGCTCTAGGTCAGCCTGGGCTAGATGGTGAATAAAGTAGCTCAGTGGCAAAGCGTGCGCCCAGCATGCTTAAGGCTGTGGCTTTGAAACATTGCCTAGAGCAGGGTTCTCAACTTTCCTAATGCTGCGACCCTTTAATATAGTTCCTCATGTTGTGGTCACCCTCAACTGTACAATTATTTCATTGCTACTTCATAACTGTAATTTTGCTACTCTTATGAATTGCAATATAAATTTCTGATATGCAGGATATCTGACATGTGACCTCCAAAGGGTGGAGACCCAATGGCCTAGAGGAACACAACAAAGGCAGGGTCCTTTTCCTTTCAGTTGTTTCCTTTGCTGTTGATGCTAGAGCAGCTAACCTCTTGCTACTGCAAGGCCTTTGGCGGCGATTCATAGACCAGACAGAAAATTCTTAGCACAGAACCACCAGAAGTATGGGAGATCACAGCTCTGTCTCATGTCTTCAGCCAGCTTAGTCCTCACCCAAAGGGGTACAAAGTTTACATTGAAATTCCATAAGCCCCACAGTTTTTCTCCCCTTGCCTTTTTCCTTGCTTAGTCACCTCTTCCAGATCACTGACCCTGACTGGCAGAGGAGGTCATGACAATGTCAGATACCTGATGCCACAAAGCAGGTCCTACAGACTGATGGGTCTAAAACAATCATCTTTGGTTATGCCACACAGTATCCGAGGGTCAGCAAGGAAGGAGCCATGTGTCAGTAGCGCTTCAGTCTCATCTGAAGGCTTGGCTAGACCAGGGATCTCTCCCCAAGTTATTAGCCCATTAAGTGCTGTCCTCTGCTCAGGTGTCCTTATGACACCCCAGAGCAAGTAGCCAGTGGTAACAAGGCAGAAGTGACATTGCCTTTTCTACCCAACCTCAGGAAGTAGACACTCTTTCTTCCTCTGTGTCCTCAGAAGCTGAGTGCTGCCCTTTCTGTTCTGTTGCACATTCATGAACCCGGATGAGGGGCATTGGGCCAGCTCACAGCATGCATATAGAGGATGAGCATCACTGATGTCATCTAGGCCCAGTTCCCTGCCTGGGGCTGTCACCATTCAGTTTTCATTGCCTGAAACTCACAGGTTCCAGAATAGCTGAAGAAGTAATGTGCCTGACCCTGGGCTGTATTTCATTTTACAGATTGGGTGCTACCGTGGTTTTGCTCTTGCATGGAAATGTCTCCTACACAGTAGTGCTGTCGAGAAAGACAGGTGAGGCAGAGGCTCCCTTCCTCCTTTCCCTCCCACCCACCATCAGCATGCTACCAGTGCAAAGGCCAGGAGGAGCTCTGAGTGTTACTAGTGTGTGCACAGTTATCTGTGTCATTAGTACATACAGAAAATAGTAATGGCCAACTTTTCTGTTATTCAAAGAACAATAAATAAAATGTGTCAGACACCTCATAGGTACTCGATGAGCTCTGGGTGATGTCACACCTCAGGTAATGTCGGTCCTATTTTCCTATCCATTTCTTTTTTTTTTTTTTTTTTTTTTTTTTTAACGAGACAGGGTTTCTCTGTATTGTTTTGGAGGCTATCAGTCCAGCCCGGCCTCGAACTCACAGAGATCCGCCTGCCTCTGCCTCCCGAGTGCTGGGATTAAAGGCGTGCGCCACCACCGCCCGGCCCTATCCATTTCTTACTTGGGCTTCTGATAACAGACTGCAATAGTGTCAGTGGAATGAGACTTCAGAAATGCTGGCTCTGCCAGGTGTGGTGGTACACACCTTTAATCTCAGCAGAGACAGGCAGATCTCTGTGAGTTCAAGGATAGCCTGGTCTACAATAGAGAGTTCCAGGACAGCTAGGACCAGAAAAAAAAAAAAGTGCTGGCTTTGTTGTTCATGTTGTCTCATAGCTAACCAGAACACAGTATTTTCTTTTTTGGAGATAGTGGCTCCACACTGTGGCTCAGACTGGCCTTCAACTCATAGCCATTATTCTGCCTCAGCCTCTTATATGCTGGGCTCACAAACATGTACCACCACAGACATCCAGAATTCATCCTGAAGCATTCCTTTTTGGTACACACAGCCCCTAGTGATTGTCACCGGTCTTCGAGCTGTGGTGCCTTGCCATAGTCTGTTCTGCCTGCCTTGGCCCTATGCGCTGCCCCATCTGCCTTGTTCCAGAGGCTAGGAGGGAACCCTGAAATGAAAGGCATATTGTCCTTGTGTGCAGAGGCATAGGGTTAGGCTGTCATTGTGCAGTCTTCCTATACCTGCTTGCCTGACCTGGCCCAGGAGGGCCTGAAGGAGGGTATTAGCAAACCAGGCCAAGAGAATGCAGCTCCCTGACTGTGGGATTCACCCTTTTATTTGAGCAAGGTTTGTGACTAATTGTGGGGTTCTGGGGTTCCCTCTCTAATTGTCCATCGTAAGATTTATTGATTTTTTTTTTGTTTTTTTGAGATAAGGTTTCTCTGTGCAACAGCCCTGGCTTTCCTGGAACTCACTTTGTAGACCAGGCTGGCCTCGAACTCACAGAGCTCTGCCTGCCTCTGCCTCCCAAGTGCTGGGATTAAAGGCAGCTGCCATTACCCAGCATTTTTTTCTTCTTTTTTTAAAAATTGAGACAAGGTCTATTTAGTTCACGCTGTCCTAGAACTCATTATTTAAACCAGGCTGGCTTCAAACTCAAAGAGATCTTCCTGTCTGGCCTCCAGTGTACTAGGATTAAAGGCTTGGGTCATCATGCCCGGCTCTCTATTTGTTTCCTTAGTGTAAGCAGGTGGGAGGCAAGGGGTCTTAACTTCAGGACTTTAGACGTGACCGGGCAGGCTGATCCAGGAGGAGTTATGTTGACTGTTCACGCCACCACTGGGTGGCAGTCACTTCCGGGTCTGTCTGCTATCCTGTTGCAGTGGTCTTCCTTGCTCCAACCTGCAGTTACCCAGGTGGAGTAAGAGCCCTCTGGTAAGTGATTGCTCCGCAGCAGGTGGTGGCCAGCAGTTGCTTAGAGCAGAGAGGTGTGCTTATCTCGCCCACTGCTCTGAAGATGCAGTGGAATGGATCCTGTAGTTGCCCTGGGTGACAGTCTTTCCCCCATGCATCGCAGCAGGAAGATGAAGGTGGTGGAGGCACTGATTGCACTGCTGCAACACTTCCCCTATGATGACCCCACTTACGAGAGGCTCCATGAAGACCTGGACAGAATCAGAGGGAAATTCAGACAGGTTTGTGCTCCATAGCCTCTGCCTGGGATGTGCCCGAGTGTGTTACAGAGGCAGAGTGGGCGCAGGCCCTAGGGTTCACATGATGGCTATGTTGAGCAGTGTGCGCCCATATGTACACCCAGAGGAACTTATTCCCCTGCCCCTTGTAGGATGACTGAGGTGGGCTGGTGCTGGCATAGGAAAAGTAGGGCTAGCAGAGGTATGTCTTCAGCCTGAGCTGGAGTTCAGGGGGTGGAGACATCGTTGGTGAGACGCCATCTCTTGGGTGTTTTCAGCTATGCTCACTGCTCAATGTGCAACCAGATTTCAAGGTGACGGCAGGAGACTCCGGACTTGCGTTTTGAGGACTCAGAAGAGCAGATGACAGCGGGACTAAAGGCGAGCTTGAGTGGCACTCATTGTTCTGCGGGAGGACCAGTATGGCCTCTTCCCTGAGGTGGCTGGCTGAGGTGTGACTACCCTGCCTTCTGCACAGGGTCTTGGCAGTACTCTCAAGAAACTGCTTGCTGCTGGCCAGAGTGAGTGTCTTTGTCATTCAGTGGTCCTGAGTAGGTTACCCTGAGGGTAGCACTTAAGAGAGGCAGGCTGATGTGAAAGAGTTTAATCAGAAGCCATGGAAGCCACGCAGGTTCTTTGCTGTGTGCCGAGCCCCTGCTGGCTGCACTTGGGCGTCCTTTGTTTCACTCTATCCCTCTGGCAGCCCCAGAGGTGGATGTCATTCTGCTTTAGAGGTGAAATAGACCCACCTAGTCTAAGGGGCCTGGCAGCAGAGCTGCCTGCAACTCCAGATCCATGTTCTGTAGTGCCGTCATTGCCTACACCATTGGAACCCTGTCCTCTGCGGCAGAAGACCCAGGTTCCTGCAGTGTGTGCAGGGTCCAAGCTCCATTGGGCTTGGTTTGCCTCTGGATACCCAGCTGAGAAGACAAGGCCAGCCTGATCCTGAGGAAGCTGAGGCATGGCCTTCGTGCTGCCCCAGGTGTGGGATGAGCCCTACACATTTAGAAGTGGCAATGGGGGAACCTCTGGGAACCAAAGCAGGACCAGATGGTGGTTGCCACTGTGAAGGTGCAGGGCCTTGCCTGTGTGACACTACTTCTTTAACAGCGGCTTGCGTGTCTTCATGGTATTCACAGGCAGGTAGGTATAAGGTTAGCTGGCAAGAGTAGGCTCTGTGCTCCCGTGCATTTCACAGGTGTGGATACACATGACAGCATGTGTTGCTATGCCCTTCTTTGGGTGGCCCCATTGTACCCTGACTGTCCCTACTTCAGTTCCAGGGCATGATGTGAAGGGGTCACTGTGGGTGCGTGCCACTTGCAGTTTTGGGTTCTTTTTTTAATTTTAATTTTTTTCTAGAGGCAGAGTTTCACTATATAGCCCTTTAAGTTTGCCTTAAAGGGTGATGCTCTTACCTCAGCCTTTGGGAGCCCTGGAATCTCAGGCCTGTGGTCCTAGGACACTGTTTTTTAACATCTTTTCATAGCAACTTGGTAGATTAGTGACCTCTGTACAGCTGGAGCTCTTCCCTCATTCCATCAGCCCGGCTGAGCCAGAGGGAGGGGTGGTGCTGGTGTGTGGGGCTTGGGAGGCCATGCGTCTGGCTTCCTGAGTGGCAGTGGCCTCAGACTCCTGCACCATTCTCCCGGCTCCTCCTAGGAGCAGGTGCTCTTCAGGGTGCTTGTCTGGGTGCTGAGCTCAGAGAGCAGTGACTGCTGTTTTGATCATATTTTCCTTTTCTATTTGAAGAAGAGAATAAACAATGTATTTTAAAGCTATGGTATGTCCGGGGTCACTTGTACTGACAGCTGCTGCAGTCCTCCAGGGCCAAGATGCTGAGGTGGCAAGATCTTGGTTCAGAGATGTGGGCCTGCCATGCCTGTCACATTCTGCCTTGGATTTGATACCACAGGTAGTGTTCCTCTCTTGTCTCTGCTGCTTTTCCCTCTCATCTCTTTGTCTCTTCCCTCATTCTCCTCACCTTGTACATGTTAGGTGTTAGAGTTCCCATCCATTAGCAGAGCCACAGCCACCTGCCTGATACCTCCTGTGTCCCCAAGGTCCTCATCCAGTCCCCAGCATGCTGTGGTCACTCCACAAGGTCTTCTGGCTCAGATTATAGGCAGAGTGTGGTGGACCATTCTGCCATGTGAGCATGCCCCCTCTTCCCACCATTGAGATGGCTGTGTCTGCGGTAAGAGGTGATGTAAGTCAGGAGAAGGATGTTGTTAACTTCTAGATGCCATCCCAAGTAGATGTTACTTGGAACTGCCATAGACAACCGCAGGGAGCTGTGGTGAAGGTGCACCTGAGTGTGGCAGAGTGTGGCACCAGTGGAACCTGTGTTCTTAATGTCATTGCTGAGCTGGTAGCCAATCCCCTGCCTTGTCAGACCATATGCTGTGAACTGTAAGTGTCCCCACTGTTGGCACTATTTTCTGTCACCCATCCCACCCTGTTCTGGCTGGCTCTCTGGCAGAGTGACCTTCCTATGACTTTAGCTTTGATGTTATCCCTTATGAGTGTCACTGTGTCACATGCTGGAGGCTGGAGATCTGATGCAGAGGTATCTGGGCTGGCTCCTCCCAAGGCTCCCTGCTGAGCTTGTTGCCTGCATCTCCTGAACAGCTGAGTCCTGACTGAACATGGACTCTACCAGTGATTTCATTCTCTCTCAGTTGGCCGAGTGGTGATGGCACACGCCTTTAATCCCAGCACTCAGGAGGCAGAGACAGGTGGATCTCTGCGAGTTCCGAGGACAGCCTAGTCTACAGAGCAAGTTCCAGGACAGGCTCCAAAACTACAGAGAAACCCTGTCTTGAAAAACAAACAAAAAAAGTTTGCAGTCATTCTCCCTTAGTCATTTGCAGATTTATCTCCAGTAACAGGGCAGGGCCTGACAGGATCTGGAATCACCTGGGAGACATCAACCTCTGTGCATGGCTGTGAGGGTGTTTCCAGAAAGGCTTAGCTGAGGAGGGAAGGCCCACCCTGAGTGTGCTCTGCCCCATGAACTGGAGCTCTGGACTAAAGATAAAGGAGAAAGCAAGCTGGGCACCAGCATCCGTGTCTCTGTTTCCTGACATCTGCCTCAGGCTCCTATTGCCATGCCTCCCTACTGTGATAACTGTCACCCTGTAATCTGTGCACAGAATAAACCCTCTTCATCCTGTAACTTGCTTCTTTTGGGTATTTTGTCACAGCGACCGTGAGAAAAGTAACTAAACACAGGGCCTCAGGCCTGCAGGAACACTGTGACCCCCCCCCCCAACAGGCAACCTTTATGTGACTGTGGGACCTAGTTCAGTCTGAGGCTAAATACAGAATGAAGTTCTTCTATGCAAAGCTTAGTGTTATGATTTTTTTTAAATATAAAGATTATTGCTGAACAGTGGTGACATACCCCTTAAACCCCAGCACTTGGGAGGCAGAGACAGGCTGATTTCAGAGTTAGAAGTTAGCCTGGTCTACAAAGTGAGTTCTAGGACAACCAGGCTACACAGAGAAACCCTGTATAAATATATATAAAATCCAATATATATATATATAAATAAATGGGCAAAGGAAATTTATTTGCCCCCAAAGGGACAAAGGACAGTGAATAAGAGACAAAGACAGGAAATAGAAGATGAGGGACAAGGAACAAGGGAGAGGGGGAGGGGTATTTGCCCAGGAGGGCCAAAGGACTGTCTCTGGATAGAGAGGAGACAGATGTAGCCCATAGGTAAATGGCAGTTTATAAAGAAAAGAGGAAACCTTGTGTTAGGATGAGGTGTTTAGTGGGGCAGTGGTGCCGCATGCCTTTAGTCCCAGCACCCAGGAGGCAGAGGCAGATGTGTCTCTGCAAATTTGAGGCCAGCCTGGTCTACATAGTGATTTCCAGGTCAGTCAAAGCTACATAGTGAGATCCTGTCTAAAAGTAAAAGAAAGTACATGAAATGCTTAATGAATTGCATCTAGGAGTGTTTTCTAGAAACACCCACCTGGGTAGTGTCCCATGACTTCACTACAGCCTCAGTTCTGCACTCTGTACTTCACTCTGCCGTCTGTCACTGCCGATACACACCATTTGAAACACCCTGGATCCAGACTGTTGTCTTTGGCACTGCAGTGTTCATACTCACATAGAGACACGATGGCTTCCTTATAGCAAACTGGGGCTTTTAATGTGTTGTGCCTCAGCATGTATTAAATGACTCTAACTCTGGATTGGGTTCGAGTGCCTTGACTGTCCTGGAACTTGCTTTGTAGACCAGGCTGTCCTTGAATTTACAATGATGTGCCTACCTCTGCTTCTTGAGTGCTGGGATTAAAGGCTTACACCTGCGCTGCCCTGACTTTATTTTCATAAAAATTTGTTCAGTGAAATTTGTCTTGGGTTTAGGACAGAATCTCCACCAGTTTCTGAACTGGTCTTAAGCACACCTTTGTTTTCTTAAACTATGTGTTTATGTGTAGTGGCACTTTTAGCACTGACCATTATAAAATCAAAATGTGTGACCTGACCAACTCTAAAAAAATGTTGAATATTCAGCCAAGACTTCTTTCTTTTTTATTTTAATTTTACGTACATGCATGTTTTGCCTACATGTATGTTTATGTACCATGCATATGCCTGGTGCCCACAGACGTTAGAAGAAGGTGTCAGATCCCCTGGACTGGGGTTACAGAGCAGTCAGACCACTGAGCCATCCTTTCAGCCCCTAAAAAATTCTCTTGACTGGGTTCATTGAGATGGGAATATTCACTCTCAGTGTGGCGGGCACCATCCAATGGACTGGGGTCCTGGATTGAGTAGAAAGGAGAAAGCAAGCTGAACATCTGTGTTCATGTGAGCCAGATAAACTGCCTTCCCCCAGTTGCACTTATCTGGTATTTATCACAACAACAGGGAAAGGAACTAAGACAGGTATCCCAGAAAGCCCAGTTGTTAGAGACCTAGCCTAGCCACTAGGGATAGAACGAGGGAAGGAAGGATGCCCTGAGCCCTGAGCCCTGAGCTGGGAGTCACCACACACATGACCCCAAGGGTGAGGCTTCTCAGTTTTAAAGTGGCTCCTAGCTGACAGGCTGTCTCAGCTGTCTCTTAGAGACAATTCAGAGGCGTAATAGATGCCGCAGTCTGAGAGGCTCAAGGCCCACCAAAGCCCCTTCAGCAGACCATTCTGTATTCTCTCCATCCTTCTTATGTGCCCTGTGAGTAACAATGCCCCCAGATGTGGGCCCCAACGTCTGCAGTCCCGAGCTGCCTGCCCACCATCCCCAGCACGCCCAGGCTATTGTCTGCTGGCCCTGTGGTGTGGTGCTGGGCCACGGGGCCCTGTGGGCCAGGGGACTGGGAAGGGATTAGAGGTCCTGTGCTTGCTTTGCCCTCTTGCACAACCATCTGATCAAAGACATTCCTGGGATGACAGCCCTGAGCAAGAGAGGCCAGCTCAGCTCAGCCAAGGGTACTGCAACTGCATCCCACCAGTCCTGTGCTGTGTCCATGTGGGGCCATTGTACACAAGCCTGTCCACCTCATGTTAACCAGCCTGCGCTCCCCACACCAGACACACATAGGCTGTCATATCAGCCCAAGTGCAGGTTTGCCCAGAAAACACACCTGGCAGTGCCAGCTCCCAACCCTGACCTTGTGTGGTCTGCACAGCTGTGCCACCAAACAGAGGGTCCAGTCGTGTGGAGCCCGACAGGCATTGTCTGCCTCCTGGGCTGCCATGGAGGACTGCAGGGAGGACACACAGGCCTACTTCTCTGCCTACTGTCGCACCCCAGGAGTCCTCAGTCGTGTCTGTCCCCCCCCCCCCTGCTGGTATTTGTGGGCTCCAGGAGCCTAGATAACTCTGTAGGGTTGGTAAAGTTGGCGTGCTTTCTAGGACAAAGTGCAGCAGTTGGGCTGGCCTCTGGGCAGCATGCTAACTTCCTCACACTTAATCCTAGGATGTGAAGTCAGTAGGGCAGGCCACACAGTCTCCCATGTGATGTGATGCAGAAGCTCCACAGAGGCCACACTCACTTTGAGCCCCAGAGGACAAGCAGAAATGAAGGTCCAGGCAGGTCCAGGCGGTGAAGTAATCTAGAATGGGAAGCCAGGGGCAATCCTCAGGTTTCAGGGATCTCAGGCTCACAGGAGCCAGACAGGTTCAAGAACCTTGGCCTGGCTGAGAAGGGTGGGATAGCTCAGCAGAACGGGGGCTCCCTGCATGTAGAAAGCCTGGCAGGGACCCATGGGGCTGGAAGGGCAGAGAATGGAGAGAACTGGCCTTTGGTGCTCTGAGAAGAGACGGGTGGCCTAGCTCCCTGAGTCTTTGTTTCTGAGTACCCTCAATGGCTGTTGTACCATCACCCTACAAACAGGAGTGTCTACACTTCCCACCAGGGGATCTACCCTCCAGTGTTACCAGTAAAATTTGAGGGCTAGAATCAGAACCTGGGTGGTGGCACACATCTTTAGCCTAAGCACTTGGGAGGCAGAGACTGGAGGATCTCTGAGTTCAAGGCCAGCCTGGTCTACATAGTAAGTGCCAAGACAGGCTCCAAAACTACACAGAGAAACCCTGTCTTGGAAAAAAAAGTTCAGAACTTGGAGTGGCCAGTGGTTTCTGGGGTTACATTGCTGAGTCAATGAAAGAGACCTGGGTATCAGCCATAGATGGACACCACAGACCACTGGATGAAGAGGCAAGCCAATTGTACCCTTAAAGACTGCATCGTGGTGTGAACCCTCTGCATTTGATGCTAGACCATTTGATGAGCACCTTTGATAGACACTGGTGGAAACAGCAGCGCCTGCCTTCCTCTGAGTGTGTATGCTCAGCCCCATGTTATTTGTGTCTGCATTCCTAGGACCACTGCTGCACTTGCCGCCAACCAGCACATGTTATTGTGTCTCTTCCACACTGTCCTTCCCATCAGGCCACCTGAACATGATGAACTTGCTCCACAGCGTTTCTACGATTCAAGGGGAAAGCAGTTCTTCAACCTCAGTGCCCTTTGGCCTGTTCCTGGAATGCTGAAGGCCCCATGCCCACTCTCCGGGATGATGGTGGCTGTGTGGAGAGGAGGTCTGCCAGTTCCTGAGTCCCCAGCCCTATAACAGGTTGATGCCCTCTGATGGTTCTGGGCTGCCAAAATACCTCTCTGGATTCTGCCCTCAGGCAGCCTTGCCCAAGATGGGATCTGTGCCTTCATAAGCCACCAGAGGGGACACTTGGAGTCTGCTTTGGCTCTGTTGTTCCCTTAAACTCCCATGGGGCAGGGGCTTCAACTGCCTTTGGGTCACATGTGCCCCCTTCCCCACCAAGTCCCTTTCTGCTTTCATACCTGGGGTATCACCATTCAAGTCAAGTGTTAACTACATCCCCCACCTTCTAGAAGAGCAGGGGCCAGCCTGACACCAACACAGTCAACCTGAGACCCAGAGGCTACCTTGTGAAAGATGATGCCTTAAAATGGAGAGTGAGGTCTTCAGATGGCTCCCAAATGGCTGTATGGGGTGATGGCAGAGGACCCCCAGTGCTAGGGAATGTCAAACCACCTATTCCCCCAGGGTTGGGAAACATTGCTAGTTATGAGCAACTGCCACCCAGAGGACATCAAAGGAGTCCAGCCAGGCCACTCAGGTCCCCAGGAACTGTGTGAAAGGCCGCCTTGGGCCTTGGCCCTAACACTAAGTATCGCTCTCTGGGCGCTTGGCAGCACCTAAGGATGGTGATTCACCCAGAGTAAACACCCATTTGCGCCAGGCGAGGGGCAGTGAACGCGGGCTCTGTTGATCTTCCATCTGCAAATAAGCAGGAGGTCAAGTTGGCAGCGACAGACCCAGAGCCGCTTCTGATCAGTGGCTGCCGCTGGCCTCCCTGACGCCAGAGGCTGCCGCCCTGTTCAGCTGCTACCTGCAAACACCCTTCCCTTTGGGAATCCTAGATTGGTGCCAGGGTCAGAGATGCCAAACACTCTGGGATGTAGAGGACAGGGTGGTCCCACATGGCCATGGCATCAAGATGGTACATCTCCCACTCCTGTCCCCAAGGCCCAGAAAATAGACAACACTAAGCTGAGATTTTACCAATTTTATTTCTAGACTTTTTGTGTCTTTTTTTTTTTTTTCTTTCTGGACCATGCTGGTCATATGTCCGTGCTGGGAAGCGCCATGGTGTGTCAACCAGAAATACACAAATCCAACCTGGCCACCAGCCAGAGCCCCTCAAAGCCTTTCATGTCACAGGGCAGACTCCGTGGACCCACCACCAGCCTTTGGCCTTTTGGCCAGACCCTCAAGGGTCCTGTCTGGTTCAGATGCCTCAGCTAGGCTGGTGGTGACCGTGGAGGTGACCATTTTGGTTTGGCAGCTAGCTAGGGAATTTGGAGGCCTGCAGCACTGGAGCTGGCTTTGCCAAGGCTGAAGTCTTTAAATTAGCACAATGCTGTAATTAACACAAAACAAGACAGAACACTAGAACCTAACAGAATCAATGATGCACCGGAGACTCAGAACTGATTCCTCCGGGCCCAGCAGCATGGTGGCATGCACAACAGGCCGCTACAAAAGTAACAATATTGATAATTAACAAAGACAAATATAGTTGTCCCACTGCTGTGATGCTCTATGTCCCAGATCAAATGAAGGGTCCAGCATGACAGGTGTAGGGGGATGATCCCACCAGACCAGTCTCTGGAGGCAAGCCACCTGCCTCCTGGACCCGTGCATGGCTAGGTGAAACATGAGGTATTGTGAACAGAAACCTGGTTTTTTGTTTTTGGAATACAGCGGTAATCATATTAAGCCAAAATTGATCACAATTTTTAAAAAAAGTACAAAAACAGGGCATCTGTAAATACAATCTTCTATGAGGAAATTAAAACTTGAACATGGCAGTCTATGACATTGTAAAATAACAAAACAAAACTGACCCTCCAATAGCAGCGAAAACAACGTGAAAGATACAAAGCAAGTCTGGTTCTGAACGTCCGGGATGTGGGGAGTCATCGGCAGTAGCATGGAGCCGCAGCCTGTCCCATGTGGTCCCTACCCTCCACACTTCTTCCCTCACGTCCTCTCTCCAGCCTCCCGCTCTCCCACCTCCCTTCAACACTTCCTAAATAGAAAAGCACAGAGCCAGGCATACGAATTACTTAACTGTTGTGGGGGGCAGAGGTGGCGGCCGCAAGAATGTGCCTGAATCAAACTCATTTGGGATCCCCCGGTTTTCCTCAGCTTGGATGGCTCTATGCCAATGGGGCCGTTTGGGTTTGGAAAGGTAAGCAAACCAAATGCTCGTCTTTATGTAGTTTTTGAGAATGCCCCCTTCCCCATAAAAGACCAATCTCTCAAGACATGGCACTAACCCTTCACCAGCAAGGCCAGACAGTGTGTTTGAATCAAGGGAGATCACATTGCTTTAAAAATCACACTGGCCATGGGCAACCTTTCCAATAAATACTCTTCTGTAGCCTTAAGTATAAATTAGACATTTTAGTGTTTAAAAGCCTCCTGTGTGAAAGACTTCAAAAGTCACCCAGAAAATCTCCCCACTGTCCGGGTAATGCCACCATAGTTCCTACCGCCAAACACCAGCTGGCACCAAAGGATCCCTTAAACTCAGCTTCTCTGTAGGACAGATCCCGGCGGTGCAAGAACAGAGTTCTCTCTTCTTGACCCAACAAAACTTCTCAAGCACCCCATGCTACCAGCCCTACTGTGCCACACAGCCATCTGAACGGGTGTGGATACCCCCCAACCATTCCATTAGGAACTCCCCCCTCACACACATACCAGCAACACTGCCTCCAGCTAGCTGACCGAAAGTGCTTTGAAATGGAATGGTTTTGGAACACGGAGAAGGGAAACACAACGAAACAGAACAAACCACACACATAAAAGAAAAGCTGTGGGTTTAACCTGATGTGAGTGGGCTGCAGGGCCGCCAGGCAAAAACCAGCGTCTCTTTAACCAGGAACTACAAAATAGGAAGATTACAAAAATAGAATATATGATGTCACTATCTCATCCCCTCTGCTGGAGCACACTGCAGAGTGGGACACCTACTGCTGTGTGGCTTATGCTACAAACCTGCAGGTTGGGAGAGGGCACGGGTGAGCCCTGGGGTGCCACACACCGTGAGACCGCTAGAGGTCGCATTGCAGGTCAACACGGTGAAGAGGTCTACCCATCCCTGGGATAAGGAGGGCACAGGAGACAGGTGACTGGGGGCCCCACACTGAGCAAGCAGGAGCGAGGTGTGCCTTTCGGCCAAGCGGAGTACATCCTCTACCTACATCTCTCTTCTACTTCAACAACCGTTTGCTCTACTTGCCTTTTTTCCTTCTTTTTTTTTTTAAAGCAATGTTTCTTAAACTTTTTAAACACATAAAATCAAAATCCTTCTGTAGACTTCCTGTGTGTTAATCCTATTCTTATAACAGACAAGCACATTAATAGAAAACTAGTTGATTACTGGGGAATAAAATCCTATTTTTGTAGCATCCCCTCTGCCCTACACTCAGGGTGATGCAAAGTCTATCTCTCTCTCTCTCCCTTTAAGACAGCTTTCAGGTATTTTTTTCTCTTTTGCTTAAGTCAGATAGAAAGGAGAAAGATTAAAGAAAAACAACCAACAAAGAGAACAAAACTTCCCCTTCTGGTAACAAAATGTCCCCAAGAGGGACATCATTATTAGGAGCGCCCCGGGCTGGCTCCTTCTGCATTGCGGGTTGCCACTACTCGGTGGCACCCGCCTGCCCGGTGGCCCTCTCAGATGTCCACATCTCGCACGTCGGTGGGTGTGCAGGCCAGGTCAGTCTCTCCCTCTGCTTCCCCCTCCTCCTCGGTGGCCTTGGGGTTGATGTTCTGCTGGGCCTGGCGCAGGCTGGACTCCAGAAGGGCTTCAATCTGTTCCTGGCAGGCTCGGAGGCAGTCCTGGAGAGGCGGGCGGAGACGGAGGGGGTCCTTGTTTAGCCAGAGGCTAGTGGCCAGGGCCTTGACCTGAGAGGCAGGCTTTGCTAAGGGCAAGGCTCGAAGAGACTCCCCCAGTCACCCCCAAATCCAGTGAGCAGCGAGAGCTGCAAGGGACTAGAAAGCAGGAATGCCACCTGTGCTTCTGCCATGAGACAGGAAGAGAGGGTTCCTGTAGCTGATGCCAGACAGGGCAGAGCGTGTGTCACACATGGAAGCCTCCCACATGCCTGATGGCTCTGACCTACATTGAACCCCCAGCTGAGTCCAAGTCAGAACTGGATTTTTGTCTGTCCTGTCTGTGCCAGGCTGCAATGTCCTTGAGGACACCTTCATAGCCAGAGCTCCAAGTAGCATCTGCCATACTTCTCAGTGAAAAGGTACTCACATGTGGCACAGTATGCCTAATACACTCCCCCCAAGGAAAATTCTAGAATGTGTCTTCTGCAGGTAGGTCTATACCAAGTCCTTTGTGGACTCAACTCCCGAAGATTGCCCTGAGGGAGCTGCAATCCTGTCGTAGCTAGGCCAGACTACTGTTTCACTTGCCACTACATTTAGCATCAGTGGCTTCTGGAAGATCCCCAGACCTCAAGCCTGGGAAGAGGCTGGGGGGGTGGGGGTCTAGGTTTGCTCCCCCCCCAGGTTCCCTGACCCTTGCCAGATGCAGTCTCCTTCAATGACTCACCGGGTCGCACTTGATTACTCTGGAAAGAAAGTGCGTTGTGCGGTAGCAGGACAGGTAGTTGTTAGGGCTGCCCAGGTTCAGGCCTTGCATCGCAGCTACCACGCTCCCAGCAGCCACCATGGAGGGCGGGTTGGAAATGAACTTCACATCTGCAGTAGAGGGACAGGCAGCTGTGAGCAGGGACAGCCACAGACCTGTGGTTTAGCCCCCACCCACTTCTCAGTCCAGCTTCACTGTCCTCCAATCCTCCCAAGCCTGCATCGACTCCAGCTCCTTTGGTGACACCTAGGTGGCGCTAGATGTACATAGTGCTACAGGCCAGCGACTCCAGCAGAGGAGGATCAATAGTTCCAGGCCAGGGCCTCAACTCAACTTTCAGCAAGGCCTTGGTCTCACTTTAAGAAGCTGGGTGGCTGACCCTGGCCTGTGTTCCACCCCCAGCGTCTCAAGCAAACACCAAGGAAGAGTCCCCTTTGTTCCTTCAAGCACTTCCAAGTTGAAGAAGAGGGCAAAGCGAGAGCCGGGAAGTACAGGTTCCTAACCGGTTAACCCAGAGACAGGCGTGGCTCTTCACAGCTGCACCCCAGCATTTGAGAGGTGGAGACAAGGGGGTCGCTGTGTGTTCCAGAAGGATGAAAGTAAGCTGCAGGCGTGACAGGAGCAGGTCCCTCGGAGTCCAGGCTAGATACCACAGAAGGGACGCTCCCTTCCAGGACAAACTCTCAGGACCTTCCACAAAGCCATTCCCCAGTTCCTGCATCCTTCCCAAACTGCTTTCCTGGCTCACCGATGCCAGCTTAGGGAAGAGGACATGGGACCCCAGACCAAGTAGCCCCCAAGGGGGCTGGGAATAGCCACCCCATGGTCCCTTGTGAGGGAGCCCCGCCCCACGAGTCTTGGGGATTCTCATAGCATAGGCCCAGGCCCCAATTCGAGAAAGCAAACCCTGGGGGGGTGTGCCAGCTTTGCAGTCTGCCCCACTGTAAAATACTGGGGTCATGTCCCCCCACAGTACTGCAGCAGGGGATCACTTCTTTCCCCCAGTGGACTCAGTGAGTGGGGTGCCATGTGGATGGAACGCCTCTCCACCAACCCCGCTACCAAAGGTGAGTCGACAGGCTGCTCTCCTGTCACAGCCAACCAAGAAACAGTGACAAGGACAGCCACCTTAAGCCTGTGAATCAGCAGTTCTAGCCAGGAGGACACAATAAAGAACAGGTGTCAGCTCCCATCACTTCACCTTGTGTCACCCAGTGCCTGGGGGCTTGGAGAAAATTAATGGGAGTCACAAGGGGAGAGGGCTGTTGTGAGGCAGCCCTTTAGACTACGCTGATAGAGATACAGCTGTGGTTCTGTTAAAGGTCAGAGGCACCAGGAAGGGGCCCAGAAGAAGAACAGCCACAGAGAAGGGAGATAATACCTCCAGGTGGTACCAAGGTCTCAGCTCAGTCCAGTGAACTGAGCTTGCTTGGAGACAAGTTCAAATCAGCCACCCCTTTTGCAAGGGGGCAGAGAAACTCCAACTACCAGCTGGCACGCGACCCCCTCTGATGCTTGTCTGTCCCTTCCCATGCGCAGTGGTATGACCTGTTGCATCCTGTAAGGAACCTTAACGCCTGCTTCCTCACGCTGCCTGGCTGCTGCTGGCATAGCTATCACCCAGCTCAGTGGCATGGCTGACGCTTACCAACAGCCTTCATTTAGCTCAATTTCCCTTTGTCCGAACCCACACAAGGGTACACTCTGGCCACCTGTGTATGCCCGTGTGACCAGCCCCAACCCTAGGTCAGTGGGCTGCTCACAAGGTCAGGACCCAGGTCTGGGGATATCCAGAAGGGAGAAGAAGTCATTCCCTCCCATCTCCCGTAGCCTTGCCACATGGATGGCAGATTTTTCTGGCCTTGACCTCTGGCCTCTTCCCTGAGTGACCCCTATATGACAGGAGCTGGTTATTCCTTCAGAGGGACAAAGCCTCCGGGCCCAGAACATAGGCGTATTGTAGTTCAGTAAACTGTGCTCTATCTCCATTTGTCTTTTGGGGGCTCTTAGTGGACCCCATCATAGACAAAGGCCATACAGTATGCTGGGTCCAGCCATACCCACAATGCATTAATGCTTGTTGGCTTCCCTGCTGGCATCCAGGGGTCCTGGGAGGGGCACTGTGCTGCTGGAACCATCCTGGGAAGGCTGTGCCACCCCATCCCTCATGTTATCTCTGGGAAACTCTGCAGCTTCTCCAAAGGCATTTTCAGCTCCATAAAAGGCTTCCTGGAGCCTCCAAGGGCTCTGCTCTCCCCAGAGGAACCCCAGCCAGACGCCTCCCTGCCTGCCAGCCAGCAGGGCCGCCCCCGCCCCTTAGATCCTTCCAGGCTACTGATGGCCTTGGCACTCACATCTGCCACCCCCTTGCTTGGTAGGCCTCTGGGGAGGGGCTGCCGCCCTCAGCAGGTAGCTGGAAGGGTAGAACCCCAAAATCTTTACAGCCACATCTGTGCAGAAACACTAGCCACAAGGGCAGACAAGAGAAGGAGCCAGAGATGGCAGGTGGGGGAAGACACTGCAAGGCCCTCTTACACCATGTTGCCTTTTGGCTGCCCTACAAACCACCCAGCCTGAGCTCCAAACAGATATAGCAACTAAGGCCTGATCAGGGCCACGGTGTGTGTGTGTGTGTGTGTGTGTGTGTGTGTGTGTGTGTGTGTGTGTGTGTGTGTGTGTGTGTGTGTGTGTGTGTGAGTCCTAAGCAGGTGAGAGAGAGTACAGAACCCCCTCAGCGTCTCTAAACCTCCTGGGCAGGGCTCCCAGTTAGATAGGGAAGCAGCTGTCAGATACAGTACTGGGACCACCCAGAGGCAGCAGGCTATCTATGTATGTATGTTCTGGTATATCCGCCCACCCTGAGTTCAGTCTGCCTGTCTACCTGAGGTCTGGGGCTAGGGAGGGTCCCTTGGAGAAGCCATGTGGAGATCCTTGCCTTTCTGTTTCCAACCCCCCCAGGACTCTGCCCTCCCATCCCCATAGCTGGGGCCCCTTGAAGGCAGGCAGGACAGGAGGTTGGTGGGGGCAGGAAGCCCAGGAGCAGAGGCAAAACCCTTTTCAGAACGTGTGCAGTGACAACACTGCCACCTGGCAGTGCAAAGCTTGGCACAGGGAGCTGGGGCATTCAGTTAGGTCTCCAGGGCCCTTTAGTGTGGCCCCCAAGACCACCTATCCCCAACAAGCTATCTGCCCCCTGGGCTCAGAACAGCGATGAGAGGACCCCCTTCTAGACATGCTGAGACCATCACCTGGTACAGAAGAGACAGCAAGGAAAAAGACAGTAGCCAAGGAACTTCAAGGAGTCTGAGATCTCCCGGGGCAGAGTGGGGGTGGGGGCCCTACCTGTGGCACAGAGGGCCACAAAGGTCTGTGCATGCTTGCGGATGATCTGCTTGTTCTCATCCGCCTCTGGCATTTTGGAGAGGAAGTGTTCGATGAAATCGTGGGGAGTCATGGCAGCCAGGTTCCACTTAAGTTTGTTCACCAGAAGGAGTTCCATTTGCTGCAGAAAATGGAGAACAAAGTCAAAAGGAGGGCAGGCCGGCTGGAAGGAGTTTTAAAGACTGGGGACAAACGGGCACTACAGATAGGTAAACAACAAAATGTACAAAGACTAAGTGGGCAACAAGCACTAGACAAAAAGACCCTTCACCGCCAGCGCTGCGGCTTGAGCGCCGCAAGAGGGCGCACGCCGCCCACATTTCAGAGTGGCTTCACTGCAGACTTGGTGGGGAGTCCAGGCGAGGGGGGGCCACAGAGGTGAAATGGGTTTGGGATTCTGCCCACTGCCATTTCGGTGTCGTGCAGTGTGGGTGACTTTCCTGGGGCTGGAGATCTATCCGAGGCTGGCTTGGGCCTCCCGTCACTTGCAGCTCCCACCACCCAGGGGTCATGCAGCTAATGAGGGATCGTGGGTGGTGGGGTCTTTGGTTACCAGAAGCTCCTCCGGCCGGATAGAGTTGTCAGTGTAGATACACAACTTCTCGGCGGTCAGGGGAATGGTCTCCTTCATCTTGGAGGCCACGAACATGCAGGTGGCCCCCAGCAGCTGCAGGCGGCTCTTTTTTAGGGGCTCCAGAGACAGGAAGCGGTCCAGGTAGTTCATGGCCAGCGGGAAGACCTCCTCTTCGCACTTCTGCTCCTCACAGACCTGCAGAGACCCGGACCGTTACCGTCAACGGCGGGGGAGGGGGAGGGTGGGGGGGTGGGAGCCGCTCGATGTGACCCCGCATCCCTTTCCTAGATTACACAGAGCGAATGCGTGGCGAGGGCGCGGAGAGAGATCCCGGTGGCAAACTCCCCGGGATGCGCGGTGCTCAGTACCCCCCACCCTGAAACTGAAAGGGAAAGTCCCTCGGCAGCTGGCGCTGGGGAGACCCCTCAGCAGCGGTGGCCGCGGAGACCCCGACCCAAGTTGGAATTAGAAGGCCGCAGGCCAGGGAATCCCACCGCGGGGCTGGCAGGGCGCCGGGGGGTTGGGCGCCGCTCGCGCGCACGCGAGACACAAAGGTGGCGTCCCAGGCCGCCGCGCCTCATTTCCCAGACGTCATCTTTTCAAAAAATATTTAAAAATATTAAAAAAAAACTAGGCGCCTGAAAACGGCCTGAAAATAACCATCGGGCGACCCTTTATCCAACCCGAGGGTCAGGAGCTCGGGGTACGTTGGAGAGTGAGCCCCAGCAACGCAAACTCTGGGGGCCCCCCTTTTGCTGGGTGCGTGTGCCGTTTGCCTCTGCAAGGGCACCATGCCGCACTTCAGAAATTATTTAAAAATATTTTGGGGCCCTTGAGACTCCCGCTAAGCACCTGAAAAATGTGCTCTGGTCTCCCGGCTTAACCTGGGTAGAAACCCCCAAGTGCAGACCCACGCGGACTCTAGCGACTAGGGGGCCACGCGACCTTGCAGACTGGCGTGCTTACTGGGCCGGACAGCCTGTGCGAGGGTGCCCAGGGGTCCGCTGGTTGAACAAAGGGTTCCCCCCCAAATATCCCTCGCTATGTCCTGTTTAGTGATTCCTGGCCGCCGCGAGGTCCCTCGTGCCTGCCCCAGCGCCCCCGCCGCCGCTCCCCGCCCTGCCCCCAATTATTAATAAACACTTTTGCTTTGCAATAAAGCAAAGATGGCGCATAATACTGGCACGAGCGGCCCTTGCATACGTGTCCACCGATATTAATTTAAAAATCAAATCTATGCCCCCTCCCCCCCGAGCTGGCGACTCAGCGCGGAGGCCACCGCCGAGGAGCAGCAGGAATGGGGCTCAAGCAGGGGCTACAAAAGGTGCCCAGTCCGCATCCTCTGGGGTGTCCCTGGCATCGTCCTCCCTCGAAGGCACTCCTCCCTGACTGTCCCCCACCAAGAAAAGGAATCCCCATTACCCCAACTCCTACACCTTCCTCGTTTAAAAATACCGGCAATATCTATTTATTTTGAGAATCCGATTCCTAGCAACACTGCGGGAAAACTCCGTGTCAGAAGGGAAGAGAAGGAAGGAAGATGTGGGTTGGAGCAACAAGTTGCCAGGGAGTCCCTGGCCAAGCCAGCAGGCTGTAGCCCCTCACCTCTAGCATCCAGGTGGCCACGATTTTCCGCATGGACGGCACAATCTCCCTCTGCACGCACTTGAAGTAAGACACGGAGGGCGCGCAGGTCTCCTCGGTCTTGAGCATGGCTCGCAGCACTCGGTCGTTGAGGAGGTTGGTGTCAGGGTACGCGCGGCGGATGGTCTCCACTTCGCAGCACAGGAGCTGGTGTTCCATGGCGCGGCCGCCTGGGGAGGGCTGTGGTCCTGGTTGGGCTCCGGTGGCTGCTGCAGGCGCGCGCTGCCTCGCGCTCTACTGCCGGTCTCCGGAGCGCGCGGAATCTGCCGCTCTCTGCTACTGCGCCGACAGCCCTCTGGAGGCTGCAGGACTTTGCAACTTCAACAAAACTCCCCTGTAGTCCGTGTGACGTTACTGTTGTTAAGCAGAGATCAAAGCCAGGCAGAGAAAGGGAGGGGGGAAGGACTGGGCGGGCGCAGGGGGAGGGGGCTCGGGAGCTGCGAGCGCCGAGGGGACAAGCCCAAAGCGCCCCCCCAGCTCGACCTTCGTAGATATGCAAATCGCTCGGACTGCTTCTCTCCAAGCTGGGAAAGAGCGGTGCGACGGTGGTGGTGGTGGGGTGTCTTCTTTCCCCCAGAGGCTCCTCTGAGACCTGTGGAGGCGGGGGGGTGGCGGTGGCTTTGGACAGGACAGCTAGGAGGGAGGCCAGGCCACACGCAAGCCAGGGAAGACTGGATGGGGAATCGTGGGGACCCAAGGCCACCCTATATTCAAGCCAGGAGAATGGGCACGTTTCTGAGGACGCCACGAGGGCACCCACGAGCGGACGGATTGCTTAGAAATCCCGGCGTCCCCATCTTCTTTCAATTTCATCAACACGTGTAAAATTCAGGAACTGTTCAACAAGCGAAGATGCTGGACGAGCCCTAAGCTCCGGTGCTGGCTCCATCCTAGTGCACTGGGGGTCGTTGCAAAGGGCCAGAGTTGTAGCCTAGCATGCACTCGCTCAAAAATAAAATAAAATCTCAAAAATCCCAGCAACAGCTCAAGATGGTGGCCATTTATTTCCTTCATTTATTCCTCCTCGCGGGGGGAATCTTTGATTCGCTTTCCTACGGTGACCAGTTCATTCTGGCCAGGTTACTCCAGTGCGGGCGATTTACCCAAGAAAAATAAACCTTTGAAGGAAAGTCTGAGACACGATGGGTTCTTTCCTAATTTATTTTTTAATTAAGAAAACTAAATCGCTGCAAGTATTAGTCGCCTTGCCAGGAACCAGACCACCGGAAGCTTTCCGATTGGCTTTGTTGGGGGTGTGGCCGTCCCTCCACCTTTAGAATCGAAGTTGGGGCTGCATTCGTGAGTTCCTGGGGGGCTGGTCGGAATCAAGACAAATGTGTGCGCCTATATGATACTTAGAGAAAACCTATATATGTTCGTGTTACACGAGTGGATTCCTAATCTTCTCTCTTTCCCAATCTTCTCTCTTAACATTTAGTCAAATAAAAGTTTTTAGGATGAAAGGGTTCCACCACCTTGGTCTGTTAATTTCCATGTCTTTAAAGTTTTCACAATCCTGACCCCCAACTCTGGAGAACTAGTCACTTATTTCCCCCAGAATAGTTTCGCGGCCCCAAGAGTGAATGGACGAAACTGGGAAAATAGCGCAGGGGCACATGGTACACGCAAGAAGCGAACCCCCCATCTTCGGGGCGCATTTCTCCCGTTCTCCCGACATTGGGGTCCATAATACCTAGGTCCTGTGGGACAGTGATTCCATTGCATCTCTGAAGGTGGTGGGTGGCCCGGGCTGTGCGCCCACTCTTGCTCTGGACACAGGCCCCGCCAAGTCTGGGAGCCTCAGCCTGAGCACGAGGGCGGCCCGGCTGCCTTTTCATTCATAAAATCCCTACCGGGCGGCAGTAAGCATGATTTATGGGGCTGCGCACTATCACCCGCGGCTGAGTGCTTGCGAGCGGAGTACGTGGGCCTGGCTAGGGTGCCCCACCGAGGGCAGCGGGGCATAAAGAGGCTCGCCCACCCAGCAGCACGAGCTCGAGACCCGCAGCCAGCACAGCCCCCCCCACCACCACCACCACCGCGGGAAAGACCAGGAAACTGGAATTAGCATGAGCCAATCCGGATGCAGCGCTGTTACTAGGCGGACCGGGCAGATCTCCACGAGGAACTTCGTTGATCAGTGCTCTCAGGGACAGGCGCAAAAGTGCAAGTCCGGTCTGCGGGCGTGTAGAGCCGTCCAGGAACCCGTGGGGGAGGCGCAGGAATTTGGGACCAGGCGGGTAGCGCCCATCCCCCATTCGGGGAACCCCGCTCGACCAGCTCCAGAGCCCTGGTGGGGGGCAGCAGTTCTGGGTCCTTTCCGGGACAATTGCTTTAGGAATCTCAGAGAAAGCTTTTGGATGTTTAATTTTTATTTTCTAACGAAAAAGCAATTTAACATACACATTTCCTTTGCATTTTTAACTTTTACGTTGGCAAAAAACCAACCAAACCAAAAAACCACCACCTCAAAGCAGGAACTGCACGCTCTGGGATCACTTAAAGTGCTCTGCGCTTATTTTCGGTGACCTTTTGGAGACAAAAGGCCACTCGTCCAATCGCGAGGGGACTACGTTATTTGGAAAGAAAATCTCTCAAAGTAACTTTAATCCCTTTCTGATTTCCTCCCTCCTCACCCCTCGCCCGGGGCCAGGGTTCCCGAGAGAGAGAGAGAGAGAGCGCGGAGTGTGCGGTAGACTTGCCACCGTCCCTGGCTGTGGGAACTTCATTGAGAGGGGGAAGGGATCGTGTTCATTGAGGAACCCGCGCCGCCTAACTCGGGCTCTGGCGGGAGGTGCGGAGCGGGGCGACAATCCTGAGCCTCTGGCAGCAGCCCTCAGGGAGAGGAACGGGCAGTGAGCAGACGCACCCAGGTGGGGTCACCTGCAGCCCAATACCTGGGCGGCAACTTGAAAGGACTTCGCTGCTTCTGTTCCAGTTAGCCATTGTTAATTCAGCCTTTAAGTCGTCCTGGAAAACGCTTCCGAATATTGGCCGCAAGGTTCCGGAGCAATGCGGCTCCCCTCCCCTCATCCTGCAGGCATTTTGGGGCGCGCATGGCCGCCCACGTGCTACGGGGCTGCTCCACCTAGGTTACCCTGAGCTGATCCTTATGCTAAAGACGGGTGTGTATACTCGGCTTATCCTGTGCACACCTGGGACGGCCGCATGCCATCTTCCGGAGCTTGCACTTCCGAGTTAGTTTCAGTCTCCATACCCAACCCCCTAGGGAAGCTCCAAATGCCGGTGAATAAATAAGCCCTGGAGTGGCCAGGCTGCCTCCAGGGACCCTGAGGGTGAAGCTGTAACTTCAGGGATGGGGGTTGCTCGGTCTCCAGCTCTCCAAACGCAACACAGATGACCTGAGAAGTCGAACCCCAAGTCCTTCAGGGATTTGTCGACTTTTATCGTTCTAGCCCACGTCCCGTCCAGATTAAATGGTGGGTAGTGGGCTGTGGAGAAGAAAATCCCACCAATCGGGCTAGTGTGGGTTTCCCGTAGCCACGCAGGACCACATGGCCCAATCGAGGGTGATCGAACTCTGGGGCCTAGGGCACAGGTGCCTTTGCACCCCGAAGGTGGTCAGGGGCCAGAGCTTCTCTGGCCTGCTTCCTGCAAAACGTAGGCGTCTCCCATTCTTAACCTAGGCCGGTGGGGGACAGTGAGGGCTTTAGAGCGGTGGCTCTGCGGGTTCCAGATCTCGAGACACCGACTGTGACGGAGCCCAAACAGGAAGGGCAAACTTTTAGCCCCAGGTTCTGGAAAGGTCGACTAACTTCACGTGCTGAGCCCTCTTCGGGCTCCCTGCTCCCGGTGGTGGTTGGTGGCAGGACAAGCGGACAGACCCCTGGCTGGGTTCCGCCGCCCCACAAACGCACGCCGGGAGCCCGGGGGTCACAGCTGGGAGCGCGCAAGGCCGCACCGCGCATTCCGCGCATTCCCGCCCGGCCGGTGTTTCGCCGCCACGTGGTCGTCCTGCGAGCCGCGCTTACCGTAAAGTTTGGTGACGACGCGCGGCAGTGGCTCCTGAGCTCCTGCGGACGCTCGCCAAAGCGAGCTGTAGATACGCGCTAGGCGCCGAGCCCGCGGGAGTTCCCGCTGGATAGAAACGGCCCTTCCACGTTTATAAGGGACCCTATACTGCCCTGGCACCACTGATATGTGTAATAAGGTGACTGACTGACCATGTAAGGAACTGGACTGCGGAAGAAGCCAGAGAGGAGCTTCAACCTTTGCTTCTGAAATTTGAATTTTCATCTTTATTCCAAGTCAGTTGTGGCTAAGGCCAAGGCTCTGTTCTCAGGAGGCCCTGTCCGGAGGGTGCTTAGCAAACAGGAAAGTGTCCATAAACCCAGTATAACTATTTTTAAAAAATGAGTAAGGGTGAGCCGGGCGGTGGTGGCACACGCACTCGGGAGGCAGAGGCAGGCGGATCTCTGTGAGTTCGAGACCAGACTGGTCTACTGAGTGAGTTCCAGGACAGGCTCCAAAACAATACAGAGAAACCCTGTCTTGAAAAAAAAAATGAGTAAGGGTGGAGTTGGATAGATGGCTCAGCGCAAAATGCTTGCCGATTTTCCAGAGGACAGGATTCAGTTCCCAGCATCCACATCAGGCAGCTTCCAACCATCTGTAACTCCAGCTCCAGGGGATCTTACACACTCTTCTGTACTCTGAGGATACCTGCACTCATACATGCACATAGATACACTAATAAACAAACACACAAATAAGTAGAATGTAGAGGTAAGATTCAGTTCACCAAGGGACAACAGGTTCTGGTTTTAACCAATGGAATGGGTGCCTGCTTCTGCCACATCAAATTCAGGGAGTAGTTGGGTCCTGAAATGGTTAGTTTTAATTGTCAACCTGACAGCCTTGAATCACCTGGCTAGAGGGTCTCAAGAAGGCTTATGGACATGGCTGTGGGCGATTGTCTTGGTTGTCTTAATTGTTGTAGGGTGACTCAGTGTGGAAGTGGGGTGCACATTCCAGAGGCTTGGGTCCTGGGCCGAGTAGGAGTGAGAGAGGTCACTGATATTGTCCTTCGGACTGTAAACCTCGAATTCTGAGCCCAAGCAGGCCCTTTCTTCCCCCTAAGCTGCTTTTGCCGTGATATTTTATCACAGCAGTAGAAATGAAGCTAGGACATGTCTAATGGGCACATGTCTGGTTTGTGACACCTAGAGTCCTATAGGGGTCAGAGATTTTGAGGCCTCTTCTGGGTTATGTCTCTATCCCTGCTTTGATACATGGCTTCTTTTGCCATCAGGGACAAGGCAGAAGCTGCAGGTGGACCTGAGGGGCTACATGGCTCCTGTGTGCCCCCAGTGTAGCTCTA